AGTATCTCAGGTGGGCCCTAGAGCAGAGCTGTTAAGAGATGAAGGCTGGTGCTCCATTGCACAGCTGACTTCATTTCTGTTCTGCTCATGGTTTATGCAGTCACCCTGGAGCATATTTTCTTAGAGTTGGGACTCCTTGGAACAGGATAGATACAGCATTGTTGTAGGAATCCGCCTCCTTTGAAGATAGTTATTGAAGCAGATTTTTGCCCAAGTAGCAAATCACCCTTCCAGACCAGAAAAGCATACAGATTCTGAACCAAAGCCTGAATTTTAGGTTGCTTCCTTTAAGCAACATGTAGGCTAAAAGCATAACAGAGCTTTTCCAAAGCTTTCGTAATTGATGCAGCTCCTGAGGCTTTAAGTGAGTTATACTGGATTACAGATGACTCAGTTTATAGTTGTGTGTGGGGAGGAAAGAGAAGAGATTGGCATTTTCTCATAGTACAGTAGTACCTCAGTTCATAAACTTAATACCGTGCTTGCAATTTGATTGCTACCAGAATCGTGGAATGAATTCTGTGACCAGAATAGTGGAAAGAATTAAGTTCGTGAACCGACGTACCATTGTTAATTAGTGCCTTGATAGAACCAAAAGAAAAAAATTTTAGTATGTGGTTGTAAATTTAATAGTGATGCTGTTTTAAGTTATCTTTTTACTTAGTTTGTGGAGATAAATTTCAATTAAGATCAACTACTGAAAAGTCCGTTTTTTTTAAATTTAGTAACTAAGTTGGTAGTAGTGGCACCTGTCTATACTCCTAGCATTTGGGAGGCTGAGGTGATAGGATTGCTATGAGTTCAAGGCCAGCCTGGACTACACAGTGAGACCCTATCTCAAAAATAAAATAGAAAAAGTCCTTAAAATCTGGTAACTAGTTGTCACCATCTCTGGTCCCCCCCCCCTTTTTTTTTTTGGTACTCAAACTCAGGACTTTGCACTTACTAGGTAGGCACTGTGCCGCTGAGCTGCATCCCCAGCCCGCTGGTCACTTTTTAAAGGCAGAAAATAAACTCCTAGATGTGTGGGATAAATTGTAGATTCAAGGTTTCGAACCAAGTTGAGTTGGGTTTTATTTTCCCTTATTACTTTCTAGGACAAAGTGGTATGTTGATTCTGTAAATGCTCCACTTAAAGGCTTTGTATGACTGAATTGAAACTAAAGAGCTAGGCTGCTTTAACTTTTTGCTATTCTCTTTGTATGAGCATAGCGTTTTGCATTTTTTGTTTGTTTTGTTTTGTTTTTGGTCTTTTGAGACAGCGTCTCACTATGTAGTTGAGTCCGACTCATTATGTAGCCCAGGCTGGTCTCGAACTCACAGCGATACTCTGCTGAGTTCTGGGATTACAGGTGTGCACCACCACTCCTGGCTGTGTTTTGCATTCTTTGTTATTGTTTTTTTTTTTTTTTTTTTTTTTTTTTTTTTTTTTTTTTTTTTTTTTTTTTTTTTTTGAGGCAGGGTCTCACTATGTAGTTGAGACTGACCTGGAACTCACTATGTAGCCCAGGCTGGTCTTGAACTCACAGTGATCCTCCTGCCTCAGCCTCCCAAGTACTGGGATTACAGGCCTGTGCCACCATGCCCAACTGCATTTTGCATTCTTAAAGTCATGGTCTTAACTAACTGCTCCTTTAATTTACAGGATGAGTCTGAATGTACTTCAGATGAGGAGATCTTTATCTCGCAAGATGAAATACAGTCCTTTATGGCTAATAACCAGTCTTTCTACAGCAATAGAGAACAATACCGACAGCACCTGAAGGAGAAATTTAATAAATACTGTCGCCTAAATGACCACAAGAGGCCCATTTGTAGTGGCTGGTTGACAACAGCTGGAGCAAATTAAATAAATAAAATAGCTCTGTCTGTCAGTGAAACACTCAAGATGACTACTGCGCCTTCTCTTTCAAAAACTCTTAAATTTAGTGACTTACGGCTAAGTTTTATCTTAAATCAATGTGATTCTTGTTTTGGGAGATGGTGGAGGTAACTTCATTAGTTTGTTCTTTCTTCAGGCTTGTGTCTTTAGTTGCGTGGCTGCACAGGCCTGCCATATGATTTAAGCCATCTCTTTTCATTAAATGTTTCTCTTCCTGTGAGACTTACTAAAGCAACTTAGTGGCAAAAAGTATTGTACTTATACTTCTGTACAGAAATGACAATGAGCTGAATATATGGTTTTACAAAGTAGACATCCTCTTGCAAAATGTTTGGATGTAATGTTAAAGCGCAATGTGCAAAATTTAAAATAAAGAATATTTATTAATACGCATAGTAGAATTTGGTGTTCATGTTTCTACTTGATGTGTGGAGGTACTTTACATTTGTGACTTGTACTTAGCCAGTGTTGGTGTAGAGGATGAAGAGTAAATGAGAGCTGAGTGTAGTTGTGCATGCCTATAATTCCAGCACTCAGGAGGCTGAGGCAGGAGGATCACTGTCAGTTCAAGGCCAGCCTGAGCTACAGGCTTAAAAAACCATAAAAAAATAAAAAAAGCAAATGAGAATAGAGATACAGAACATTGTTGAAGATAAAATCTTCCCTTGATTAAAGTTATACAAGTCGAGAAAAGCAGTTTCTAGTCTCATTCTGAAAGAAATTTTCTGCAGTACATTTTAAATACTGACTAGCATCTGACTTTTTCATGAGACTTTGTTTAAAGGTCCCTAAGATATAAGAAAAAACACCTCTTACATTCAGAGATTCATCTTGACCTAGAAGAGTGAAAACAAAAGGTGGCAGAATTTCCACCAAGGGTTGTCTGATCCGGAATTGCTCAGCATGTATGACTGGGATGAGAAGGCTGCACTCAGCCCACTGTGGTCTCTGGTTTATATCAGTCTTCGTGGTTTTCCAACAGTAAAGTCATTATGGCCTTAGAATTCACTGCTGTCACAAGCTGTCTTGAGTACTGAAGGAGAAAGATTTCTCAAGTGTAGCATTTTGCTGACATTTAAAAGGTCAGGTCAAAATAGTTCAGTAAACGTAGAGTTTCGTGTCTGCAGGTTGATACTACTTGGTGGCAGCAGACAAGTGGTAGGGCAGCCAGTAAGTACCTCTGTGCAATGGGGATGGTGCAGACTGTATAGGCTTTCTACCACTGGATCATATTTCTAATCCGATTTCAAGTGGGCACAGAGGACTCATTTAATTTTCATAGTTGGTGGCATTTCTTTGATTTACTTCTAGACTTTCCATCAAAGTGTTGTATAGGAATTGGGGCAGAGGTAAAATGCGTAATGATTCCTCTTAGACTCTTGTTTGCTCCCATCATGAAGTTAATTAAATGACTGTGGGGTTCCCACATCCTTTGGCTCTGAGGCTGATCTTTCTGCTATCCCCTCCCCTCTGCTCCTGTGCTGTAGATTGAACCCAGCATGCTAGTAGGCAAGTGCTTTACTGCTGAGTTAAAACCTCTGGCCTCAGACCCAATTTTTTCTTTTTTTGGTATCAACCGAAGTCGGGACCTTGTTCTTGTGAGGTAGGTGGCGGAACCACTGAGCTGAATCCCCGGCCCATAGACCCAATTTTCTTCTGGAAATTGGCTATTATTAAGAATTGGAAGTGCCCTTCACGGTGGTGCACTCCTGTAATTCCAGTTACTCAGAGACTGAGGCAGGGGGTTCACAAGTTTGAATCCCCCATGGGCAACTCGGCAAAACTCAAAATTTTAGAAAAGGGCTAGGAATGTAGCTCAGTGGGAGGTTCTGGGTTTAATCCCCAAGACTGAAAGAGGAAAAAAACCAGAAGTGAGCCATTTTCAGAACTGATGGAGTAACCCAAGTAGCCAGGGAGCAAAGTGACCTTTATTCTGAATGAAACCAACAACACAAGAAGGGAAAATGAAGTGAAAGCAGTTGAAGAGCACATTTGTAGCCTAAGCCTGTCTTCACACTATGCTTCTATCGATATCTCATTTTTAAAATGAAGATATTAAAGTAAAATGAAAACACTGGGCGGGTAGAGCACTTGCTTAGTCTGCCCTGGGTTTAAACCCCAGTACCTAATTGGGGGAAAATAGAGGATGGTTGTAGGGATTAGTGAATATATTAGAAGTGGCTGCCACGGAGTAACCACTCAGTAAGTTGTTGGCTCTTTACATTTGCTACAATATGAAGGGGTAGGACCCCTGAGTTGGAGACATTAGACCGTTTAGGGACAGAATCTCCTAATGCTAGTGATACTATCCTAAGCCCAAGAGACCAGGTAGGGTCAGTAAGAGTTCTTTCCAAGGTCATCCAGCGTTGACGGCGAAGACACTTGGCCTTTTCTGGTCTGAATTCTTCCCATCAGCCACCAGCTGGTTTGAAAGGGAGGCACTTAAGTGTCCTTAATTCCTTATCCCGAATTTAGGGGTCTGGTACAGGTAAGAGACTGAGCGGAAAGCCTTGAGTGCTCGCATCCCCGCTCGGGGAGCCGGGAGCTGTCAGGGCGACCCCAGGGAGTGCAGTTTTCCCCGGCAGCTTTGGGCGCGCGGGGCCGCACCGGAAGGGGCCGCACCGGAAGGGCCGGACCGCAAGGAAGGGGCGGGA